CTACCCAATCCCCTTCCTAAAGCCTTGCTTATGAGGGCACCAGGCTCTCGGGGGTATCTAGATACAAAGCAAAACACTGTGTGTATGCATAGTGCTATGAAACTTTATTACACATGGAGTGTTTTAATCATCGCCACAATGACAGCACACAACTGTTCAGTCAGCACAAACTCCATGTTACCCCGTAATAGTTGTTCTTTTCTCTAACCCTAATTTTTTTTGTCTTTTTTTGAGACAGGGTCTCAGTATGGCTGGCCTTGAGCTCACTTTGTAGCCCAGGCTGGTCTCAATCTTGCAACGATCCTCCTGCCTCAGTCTCCCAAGGCATTACAGGCACGTGCCACCACGCCCAACCCTAATATTTGTCAATTACTGATCTGTTCTCCCTCACTACAATGTGCCAGCTTGAGAATACTACATTGTAACAGGACACAGTGTGTAACTGTTTGGAGATCAGGTTTTTTCATACTGGGGAGGTACCTTCATGGCAGAGGGCCATGTTTATTTTTTTAGTGGCAAGTGAAGTTCAGCACTATACATATATATTTTTAAATTTAAATTTTTCACAGCTGTGTTGTCTGTTAACTGTACTGGAATTTAAAATTTTATCTTATTTACTTGTTAGTTGTTCATATATTATAGAAATTAGCCTTCTTCATTCACACAGCAAATATTTTCTGATAGTTTATCTTTTGACTTTATGATATGTTAATATATACATTTTTTTGAGACAAGGTTTCACTATGTAGTGCAGGCTGACCTTGAACTGGCTTATGTAGTCCAGGGTGGCCTCGAATGCATGCCAATCCTCCTGCTTCAGCCTCCTAAGTGCTGGGATTATGTGCATATGCTGCCACGCCTGGCTTAGTATATAATTTAAAAAAAACTTTTATGGACTCAAATTTATCCATGTTTTTAGTTCATGTTTAGAATGGCATTGGAGAATACAAAATTGTATGCATGCTGTCCAGAGTAGGAACTACTGTATCTGGAAAACCTAATTTATAATCAGACGTTTGCTCCCTTTGCACTGAGTCAGAACAAAGAGAATTATGGGATGTGTTACACAAACTAGCTAAACCTGGAGGATTACCTCTGTTATACCATGGGGTGCAAATTCCTAGTGACCAGGGTATTTTTGCATCAAGTAGGATTTTTCCCTTTGCAGTTTCAAATGTTCCTGTTTTAACCATTCCACTTTTCTATTCCAGTATTTATTAGGCACCCAAAACATGTGCCATTTCAATATTATCTCATGAGAGCATGTCACAAATAATTAACATCGGCTAGTTTTACACTGGTGAAATGTTTCATCTAACGGCATTTTTCTTCTAGTTTGCCTGGGATTTGAAGGGTGAATTCTTTTGTTCCTATGATATAAACTGTACTTCTTAGGATAGGAGTGACACATATAACACGGTGAGCTAAACATACTGAAGGCTACATGCACACACGCATGCACGGGCACACACACGCACGCACACAGCACTCAGTACTCTTTCTAGGAGGTGCAATGAATACCAAACAAATTGTTTTGGCTGTAAGGGGTGGCAAGTCAGGAGGCAATGGACACGGAAAAGGTCCAGCTTGTGTGTCTAGTAACAAACTAATACTGGGGCAAGATTTTCATGTCAACATGCTTCAGTGCCAAGCTCGAGGCGATGCAAAGCAGTGAAGTACTAAGGCACGACTGCGCACATGCGTGCGTGTGCGCCCCCACGTCTATTTCGTTAGTACTGGGGATTGAATGGCAGGCCTGAAGCACGCTACCTAAGGGCTCCACCACTGAGTTACAGCGCCAGCCTCTTTTCAATTTGAAGAGGTCTCAAATCGACCTGGTGGCTTCAAATTTGCTGTTCTGTTTCAGCTGCGAGAGCTGCTGGCATTACAGGTGTACACCAGCACACCGGGCTACAAAGGATTGTTTTGAATTTGCTGCAGCAAAAAGAAAAGGAGCTACTGTGAAACCTTCTTAAATGGCATTACAAATTTGCTATATAATTAATTTCAGGTGTTAGACCAGTTGCACTTAATAATTTTCAGTGGTATTTTTCACAACATGAAACCAAGTTTATTAAACAGGAACTTTTCAATTTTGTTCAAAGCATAAAATTGTTTAAAGTTCTAGTTGCTACATAATCAACTAACACCATAAATTTGTAAAACTAATGAAAAACTGTACCATGTATTATAAACGTGATGTCTGGAGCAGAAAACCAGCAGTTTTCAGCTAATACGAAACCAGGAAAAAATAAAACAGGAAATCATTTAGTATCAGTTGATAATAAAGTGCCACTACTGAAGTAAATTAATGTAAAATGATTTGGTACACATTCCAATTTTTCTATTACTTCGATTGGCATTTTGCATTAACTCATATATAACTTTGCAAAATTTCCACTACTCCCCGCTTAATGTTCTAGCTGCATCATGCTGTAACTTGAATCTATTAAAAACTGTACAACACTACCAAAGGTGGTCTATAAAAGAAATGGAAATTTATTCTGAATAGTATTCCACTCCCCAAAGCTTTAGCGGTAAGTAAAAATGTCTGACTTTATTTCTTGTTATTGATATTTAGATGCTTCTGTTTAACTTTTATTGTTCAGTTGATTAAATACACCATAATTCTCTTTTTAACGTCGCAAGACAAAAAGCCCGTAAGCACAGCGAATGAGAGCGTAAGAAAGACGTGGAAGAAACGCAATTTGAGGACGCAAATAATCTCTGTATTACATTAGGAATGCTTTAGAATCATTATCAGGTGAAATCTCCACAATGCACACGGAGCTCGTACTGTTTCTCCTTTGTCTTTTTATTAAACACGTTTTATTCACTTTCTTCTAAGTGAAACAATTTAATATCACAGAAATATTTTAAGCAACATCTCAAACAAGAAACGGAAACAAAGAGTTGTAAACCAAACTCTCTGCGTCCAGGAACTTCTGGAACAGTCCCGGAGACACTTAATAGGTCACTTCTTCCTGTCCTAGGAAGCGCGGCGCTCGGAGGGTCAGCCCGCCCGAGCTCTTCCTCCCTGCGTACCGAGCGCTCCGCAGCCAAGGGTCCAGTCCGCCGGACTCGAGCAAACAACAAAAAGCAAAGGTGATGGACCTCAGTTTCTGGGGGCCCAAGGGGCGGTCGGGGGCTCCGCCACTTCCAACCCCGCGGGGCGGGGCTGGTGAAAGGGAGGCTGCGTCGCTCGCGCCGGGCCCCCCCGCCCCCCGGCCCCGCTGCCCTTTGCCGTTTCCCTCCACTTCGCTCCCCTCTTCCGCCTGCACAGCGGGCTCCGCCGGGGCCGCGCCGGGCCGGCCAAGTGGCCCAGCTCGCTAAGTCGGCTGGACCCCGCGACGGGGACCACGTTTCTTTCGGTACAAGGATAGTGTGTGGATTGCGAAGAAAAAAAATTGTGCACATATTCTCTTTTCCAGGGCTAAGTGTTCCTGGTAAAGAATCAGGTCCCTTTTCCTCTAAACGCAAAGCAGAAAACAGAAACAAAACAAAAAACCGCAAGGCAAACAAAAAGCGACCCCAAACCCCGAGCCCGTCCAGCCGCTCGGGCCGGCGCGGACTTGGGAAGTTGGGCCCGGCCGCGAAGGCGCCGGCGGCGGGTCG